CTGGCTGCCTGAGGGAAAAAACATGGCAAACCACGAGAGCTCCATCGGGTTTTTCCCTTCCTCCTTTGTTTTTTTGAACCCGGAACTGAAGGGCAGGGCCACACTTTGCTTCAAACCCTTTCTACCGGCAGGCTTCAAGACACCCGGAAGGCACGCCCCCCTGCTGGAAAAGGTACCGAGACCGTTGTAAAGACCCTGAGCCCTACCGCACCCGGTACCCCTTCTCAAGTGCCTGCTAAAGCAAGGACTCTGTACGACGTGTCTTTGCCTGGATGGCGTCTCGCAGCTGCGCCTCATCCCCGCTGCGCAGAACCTGGCCAAAACTGGCTCAAAGGCGCAGCTGAATAGTATGCGCGGGCGAGCTCGGAGCAACCTAGCCTTCTCCACTACGGCACCATTCATTCTAGCTTCAAAGTTCCTCTCAAGACATGGCAACCTTTAGCCCGAAACCCAAAGATCCTCAGTCAGAGCCCCAAAAAGGGTTAACCCAACAGTTTGTGCTGGATGCAGTTTATTACGACCTCCGTCTATGCACGGCTCTATTAAAGAGCCCGCCCGCACTGAAAAACCCACAGCGTGCTGGCTACGAACCATGCTTTTCCACGAATCGCTGCTTCCATACAACTTTATGGCGTGTGGGTTGCGAATTCTGCTTCCACATGCTTTGTGGCCTCCGCCGTTCTTTGCATGGACATTGCATCTTTCGAAGCTGAATGCGCTGTTCATTGCGAGAGCGTGTGTTGACCTCCTCAAAAACAAATGTAGCAGCTACCTCCTGTAACAAACCCTCGTAACACTGTGGGAGGGAATTGTAAAAAATCAGTGCTGTGAGGCAATGAAGGCCTGGGGGATTAAGCGACGAGCGCGCGCCTCCTTGAGGTTCTTCAGGGCGCGGTCGACCAGGATGCTGTTCAGCATGTCTTCGGCCTTTGCAAGGCTCTCCACCACAGAAGGCTCCTCGAGAGGCTCCTCTGCATCCTGACAGTCGATGCTAAAATTTGTCGCAGACTGGTCCGAGAGACTGCAGAAAGAGGGATAAAGTTTGCGTTGAACCACGTCCGCTAGTTCTTGACCAGTTGCGCTACACAGAGGGTGTGTCCTGGCGTGCATCTTCCAATGCCTTTCTCAGCTTCCCCTCATCAGCACTTGCACACGCATCTTCCAACTGTCGCAACTTGGCGTCCACAGTACCTGCACCCATGGAAACTCGTGTACCGACATGCTCTGAGAACTCGAAGCGATCTCACGAGCACGCGAGACTGAGAGAAGAAACTCATCGCGAAAGAACCTCTGCACCGAAACAGTTTCGGGCACAGGCAATGATTCGGCAAGTCACGGCGTCCCGCCGTGACCCGTGGCGTGTCCAAAAAGATCGTACGCAGCGTACGAAGCCTCTCCTGCCAAACTGGCCACGTGTGCGACATTCGGTGCGACATTGTGTGGCAATTACGAAAGTGGACGGTGTGAGCCTCCTACTAGTGACTGGTGGAGCATGCAGAAAAGGACAGGTATCCAGCCTTCCAGCTACGCCGCCCTCGACACGAAACCGTTCGAAGGACCACAGCGGCAACACCAGGACGAATTCCGAGCAGGACGTGACGTCCTTGACACAAGTCGAACTCACGGCACAAGAATGCCAGAACATCCGTATGCTGTCAAGAGATGAGGCCCACTAATCGGCACGTTCGCATGATCTGAGGCGGGCGACTCTGCACATCGGCCAGCCACGGCCCGTCTTGCTGCCACCGCCCAAGCCAGGTGCATGATGTTCTAAATCCCTGTCAGGGTTGAGCTGGCTTCAGCATTCCGTCCTTCGATCATTTAATGATTTAATGCAATTCAATGCAGATCTTCGCGCAACCTTTTAGGCAATGCTTGCCAACCTGGTGTTGGCGGAGATTTGGTGTGCTTCCGCCAACTCCCACAAGCATCTCCCATGGCTTAAAACTAAGCGTGGTTGAAACAAATCATTGGCTGACATGGGATCATCACTGGCTTTGCGATTCAGGGCTTAGCAATGCTTGGCATATTTGTTGAGCTACATGCGCTTACAGGGTTTACAGGCTGTCTTCGACTGAGGGCCGAAGCGGGCTGGTCTACAGCAAACGGCCATGACAGCAGCACCCCGAAGCAAAAAGCATACCAAGCAAAGAAGTGCTTCCAGATGGGTGTAAGCACCGTCCCACATATCTGGCTTCATAGGCGCCGGGTCCAGGAGTGCCAATCCCTGCCAGGACAGACTGCGGGCAAGAGTGAGCTAGCAAACCCCGGTGCGAAGCTGCGCAGAAGCTGCATGCTACAAAAACCTGAAAGAAAAAACGTTGCCTCGAACGGGCAACCGTCCTCGAGGTGACACCTGGAGTCAGGGTCAGGGTGTGCCGGTACAGTTACTCGGGTATGGTCTACATCACCAAACAGGCAACCGGCTAATTACACCGCACTTAAGATCGCAGGGGCGACAAGAAAAGAATAGCAGACGGGTACGCTCTATAGGAAAGTGCTGCAGACAGAGCCATCCTTTGCAAAGGCAGCCTGCCTGGCTGCTCACACCTTGGAGAGCACAACCGAAAGAAGCTTGACACTCCGCTTTGCTCCTCTTGGCTTCATAGGGCCGGGGCTCGCTTCCTTGGCAGGACCTTCGGATCACGTCTCTCAAGGTCCAAGCTTCCTGGGAAGTATTTTATGTTTTTTGAACTCTCTCGAGGCCTCTGGGAGTGGCCGGTTGCAATCCGGCCGTGCCTTGAAAGGGTCGGGTCTGCGGACTATCGCTTCTTCTCTCACAATCTGCATTGAGAGGAGGGCCAAACGAGAACTTGGGCCCTGCCTGTCGCAAATTGTCTGCCGGCTAGAGTCAAGCTCCAATCTCAACTGCGAGCCCGTCCGTGGCACTCAGCAAGCACGCAGGCCTTGATCGTGGACACGGTGGCCATGGCAGGGTACGAACCTGGTTGTGACATGCTCTGCAAAGTTCTGAGAACCGGATGCGTGCTAAAGTATTGCAAGAAGCTGGGTCTCAGGTGCATCGACGTTGCACCTGAACGGCTCCAGTTTGGTGTCCCTGCATCGCTGTTGTCACTGTTGTCAAAGTCAGAGGACTCTAAGCTTCGGAGGCCCTCACATAGAGAGGATTATGCCACCTCAGCGCAGCCCTTGGCTTCAGGGGCGATTGTTCAGAAGTGGCCCAAGTGATCACATTCCGACCGCCTCAATTAAAGCCAGTGGCCAGCTCAATGAGCCGGCAGAAGTTCAGTTTTGTGCTGTTTTGGCCACACGCCCTCCCATGCCTGCATCACTTTAGAATTACACTCTGGTGTAAATCAGAGTCGCAGCTACAATAGTTTTAAAATAGTTGATGACGGTTGCTGGTGCATGGGCACTCCTCGGGCAGGCAACATTCAGCATCGCTCAGCAAGCACATGGCGACCCCCACCCCAAACGAGCATCGGAGAGGAGGTCACTGACACACAGAGCCACCCAGGAAGACTCGCCGCCATGGGCAGTGCTTGCCCGAGACAAACACTGGCCTGAGCCCCCAGAACCACAACGCAACTCTCACTGATCCTGTGATCCCTTGTAGTAGGAAATTCATGACAATTCATGACAAACGTCGGCCCAAGGTGAGACGAGTGGCAACACGGGTCTTCTTTACATAGAGGGTGGCTTGAAAATGGTGAGCCCCAGACTTGAATTCAAAGGATTCAAAGGAGAGCTCACTTCGAATTGCAGCTCACACGATCTCAAATGACAATGGCTTGAGCTGTGGGTACCTTGGCCTTCACGATGGGATAGGACGGCTGGTCCTTGATGCCACACTCGCCGTCTTTGGGGACACCCCGCTCGATTCGCACGTATCCGCTCTCCCCCCAGTTGGCTCCCCAGGAGTTCTTCACCTGACAAGGCAAGCAGACGATGCGCTTGTTTGCGCGTGCATGCGACAAATGTGGCAACAACAGGCTCGCCTTCCAGTAGTCAACCCCGTTCTCCGTGCCATAGCCCACCGCCAGCACTCCGTGGTCCAGCTTGGCACCGCACGTCTTCGTCAGAATGCCGCCGTTGTAGAGCTGGAAGGCCATCTGGTCTGCCTCAATGGCGACAGACACCGGCTGCTGGGAGACGGCTTCCATCAGGGCGTTTGTGTCCTCCGGCGTGACGTCCTTGAAACCGACAATGGAGCCCTTTGGCACTGCAACCGTGCAGTTCGTCTCCTTGCAGGTGCCCTGCTTGGCCTGGTACGGGTAGCTGTCCTCCGTACAGACGTCGTACTTCTCCAAGTACTCAAAAGCTAGATCCATGGAGCCGCCATTGCAGCCCATGTTGCCGTTTTTCGCACAATCCACCAGCTGCTGTTCGCTCAAAGAGACGAGCTTGCCAGTGGCGATTTGCCACGCGCCCTCCAAAGCTCCGGTTGTGGAAAAAGACCAACATGACCCGCACTTTCCCTGATCCTTCGGGTCGGTCACGGCGCCCTTGCTCACCCAGTCCATGTCCTTGGGCAACGCCGAGCCGCTGTACCTCTCAGCCCAAGACCCTCCCCCAGTCCCAAACACGTCCCATTGCAACAAGGCAGGCAGCGTGTAAGTATGTAGCCGTGGCTGTACTGCCAAACTGTCATGCCTGTCTATGCTGACAATGTATGAGGCACAGTAACTTAGTAACTGTGGGCAAGCTTGTTGTGTCCTGCTGTCATGTTGCGGGTCTCTGCCGAGGTAAGGCAGCCCAGACCACGGTCGGCTTTCGGCGGACAAGCCGAAATGGCTTGCAGCGAACTCCTCCGGCTCCATGTCCGCGAACTCGTTGATGCCCAGCTTGTAGGAGTGGCCCTCGGCGTTGTGCGCCTCGATGCGAGCGAAGTTCTTGGCAAACGTGGCGAAACGGGCCGCGCGCTCAGCGGCCGTGGAGTAGGTCCTTGAAAGACTTTGCTGTCGCAACAAAAAATTGGGTTGGAGCATGCCGGAGCCACTAACAACAGATCGCATACTGCTGCGTGCTGAGCACATCTGAGAGGTCTCACGACAAAAGAGGCAGCACTCGCAATCAGCACCAGAGCTCACCACCAGAACACTTCCGCCACGTACACCCACCTCACCCCAACATAACCACCTATACACAATCCCATCTCACCATGCCCGCGCCGCCATCCCAGACCACCACGGCAGATTCCCTTGAAAAATCACTCTTGATAGCTGGGCCCCGAGCCCAAGTCTTGAATTCTAGCCCCTGGTCCCCTCACCACACCCCTGCCCACCGCCACCCGCAGCACCACCAGCAAGAATATTGCCGTGATGATGACGATCATGATGCTGGCGGTATTGGTGGTGGTGGTTCCCTGGCCTTTGTTTCGTGCCGGTCGCTGGATTGCGGCTCACTTCTTTCTGATCGGGCCCAAACGTCAAGAACATGATGTACATGAAAGAGCTGCAGGTATAAATACCCTGAATGATGATGGCCAAACTTGCGATAGGAATCCATGTCAATGCTGACCCCACCCCGGCTCAAAACAAGCATGTGCTGCTGCTGATGATGATGATGACAGTGCAGATAAACCATCACGATGCTACTGCGGCGGACATGATCAATACCCTCCCCCTCCCAACCCTAACCCTATAAACCTGCGAAAGTAGCAACAGCATGCAACAGCTCCGGAGCAGGACACAAATCAAATCTACCAGTAGCTTTGCTATAACTTTCGTGGCGTGAAGACCAGCGGCTTGCGGAACTTGCTAACGAAGTGGGCGAAGGCCGCTGCCTCTGGAGACTCAGCTGACACCTTGGCCTTCACGATGGGATAGGACGGCTGGTCCTTGATGCCGCACTCGCCGTCTTTGGGGACACCCCGCTCGATTCGCACATATCCGTTCTCCCCCCAGCTGGCTCCCCAGGAGTTCTTCACCTGACAAGGCAAGCAGACGATGCGCTTGTTTGCGCATGCATGCGACAAATGTGGCAACAACAGGCTCGCCTTCCAGTAGTCAACCCCGTTCTCCGTGCCGTAGCCCACCGCCAGCACTCCGTGGTCCAGCTTGGCACCGCACTTCTTCGTCAGAATGCCGCCGTTGTAGAGCTGGAAGGCCATCTGGTCTGCCTCAATGGCGACAGACACCGGCTGCTGGGAGACGGCTTCCATCAGGGCGTCTGTGTCCTCCGGCGTGACATCCTTGAAACCGACAATGGAGCCCTTTGGCACTGCAACCGTGCAGTTCGTCTCCTTGCAGGTGCCCTGCTTGGCCTGGTACGGGTAGCTGTCCTCCGTACAGACGTCGTACTTCTCCAAGTACTCAAAAGCCAGATCCATGGAGCCGCCATTGCAGCCCATGTTGCCGTTTTTCGCACAATCCACCAGCTGCTGTTCGCTCAAAGAGACGAGCTTGCCAGTGGCGATTTGCCACGCGCCCTCCAAAGCTCCGGTTGTGGAAAAAGACCAACATGACCCGCACTTTCCCTGATCCTTCGGGTCGGTCACGGCGCCCTTGCTCACCCAGTCCATGTCCTTGGGCAACGCCGAGCCGCTGTACCTCTCAGCCCAAGACCCTCCCCCAGTCCCAAACATGTCCCATTGCAACAAGGCAGGCAGCATGTAAGTATGTAGCCGTGGCTGTACTGCCAAACTGTCATGCCTGTCTATGCTGACAATATCTGACAATGTATGAGGCACAGTAACTGTGGGCAAGCTTGCTGTATCCTGCTGTCATGTTGCGGGTCTCTGCCGAGGTAAGGCAGCCCAGACCACGGTCGGCTTTCGGCGGACAAGCCGAAATGGCTTGCAGCGAACTCCTCCGGCTCCATGTCCGCGAACTCATTGATGCCCAGCTTGTAGGAGTGGCCCTCGGCGTTGTGCGCCTCGATGCGAGCGAAGTTCTTGGCAAACGTGGCGAAGCGGGCCGCGCGCTCAGCGGCCGTGGAGTAGGTCCTCAGAAGTGAGAGGTTTCCTTCTCAGCGCTTGTTGGATTTGTTCTTTCTCCATCTTCTTCTAACTTCCAGGACAAATCAGGAGTCTTTTGCCATGGCAAAAAAAGGGGTTTGTCGAGGGGATGTTGAAAAGGGTTCGGGAGGTGGGTGGGGGCGGGGGCCTGCAGGGCGCATCTGTAGACCGCAAGCCTGTGCCGTGAAAGGCGAACAAATGAAGACTCCCTCTGCCTCAGACATCCGCAGTCGCTGATTTTATTTAGATTTTGCATTTGGCAGTGCCGGCTGCCTCGTATTGCTTCGTATGGGCGGATCAGCAGACGTTCTGTTGTTGCTTCTGGATTCATGCCACTGCTTGCAATCTTGGTGAAGGCTTTCGAGTCCCTCTTTTTCGAGCGCCACTGCCCCAACAATGGAGCATATCCGATCTTGTCAGGCAAAGATGGAAGAGCCCCGTCTTGCAGCCAAGGATCTTCTGAAACTTGGCAATGAACTGCTCGAACTCTTTTGCAACCTGGGGCAAGTCTGCCCGCGCGCCAGTAAGGAGAGCGCCAACAGCAACAATCCCAATACCTGGAGGCTCTGAAGGAAAAACATGAGTGGGACTTGACTGTCAGGCTTCTGACATCTTACGGAGCATGGGGTCGTCAAGTCATTGGTGAAGCTGCCACAATCAGGACATCTGAGTGTACGAGTGCTATCCTCATGGTTTCTGGTGGCTACATTGCGGCTACATCACGCTACGCTTCTCTAAATTGACGCATGAGTATCTGAGCAGGCGCCATATTCGAGCAACTACGATGGGGGAGACCCGTGGCTCAGCATTGCTGGGCTGCAGACGAGGCACGCAAACTCTGCATGCCGAAACGGGCAATTGTCGTCAGAAGTTCACGATAATCACAATATGCCCCTTTAACTTGAGCCTTGGAAGCCGCATCCGAGCGTCAACCCTCGCGTGTCCTGCGTTGTGGTTTGCAAGCCGACTATGTCAGCACACGTCATCTTCCATGTCTGGTGTGCCTATCCATGCCGGCGCCTAAGAAGCCAAACAATGGCTATAACAATCATTTATGACAGTTCAACCCTACACTTTGCTGCAGAGGGCCTCCATCCTGACTGCTCCGTGACATTGGCTCAACACCTATTGCTGCAGCCATCATGTGACAGTGGCAACACAGATCAACACAGAGACTGGCAAAGACCAGGAGGCATAAGCACGTGCAGCACGTGACACCCCAGCCTCGCCCGGAGGTGTCAGCAAAGCTTGATGCTGAACAGCTTAGGTTGGCGAGCAAGCGATTTCAGGGAGCGATGCTGGCCGGAACAATACGACAATGGTGGCATGCCACTACTTTCGCAGGGACCTGCAGCTGCGCGTGCATGCGCAAATTCTTGCACCGTTCTGCCTGGGGATCGCATGGTGCATGGTGCAGCGCTTTTATCGTGGAGTCCTCCAGGCTTGGCTAGCTGTGCCATGTTATGCCAGCTATAGTGGCTGCAAAAATTGCAGAAGCATCACCAACGTACAGCCGCGTAGTAGTCAATCTGATGGGCATGGACAGCACCGTCACTGCACGAACACTGCCGGACACAACAGGCACAACTAAACGACAGTGACGAAGCAATCCACGTCTACTATGTACAGTACACGTAGGGAGACCTTAGGGAGAATGTCGCCACTCACGTTGGTTGCCTCATGCACTGAGAATCCACTGACAGGCAACAGGCAGACCGACAACATCATCCGCAACACCACCAAGTTGATGCCACGCAACTCGAAGGCATTTTGGTGCCCCTTCATCGCTATGCCAAAAGCTCCCGGTCAAAGCGTCAAGGAGCTCTACAGCTTCGTAGGCTCTCACATGGAGAGGATTATGGACACCTAGCGCAGCCCTTGGCTTCAGGGGCGATTGTTCAGAAGTGAACCAAGCGATCACATTCCGAGTGCCTCAATTAAAGCCATTGGAAAAGACAATAGGCCAGCAGATGTTCAGTATTTTGCTGAGCTGCCACGCGCCCTCTAGTGTTGTGACACGTCACTATATAGACTCTGATGTACATCAAGTATAGTTGCAAGAGTTGATGACGGTTGCGAGTGCATGGGCACTCCTCAGGCAGGCAACATTCAGCATCGCTCAGCAAGCACATGACGACCCCCACCCCAAACGAGCATCGGAGAGCAGGTCACTGACACACAGAGCCACCCAGGAAGACTCGCCGCCATGGGCAGTGCTTGCCCGAGACAAACACTGGCCTGAGCCCCCAGAACCACAACGCAACTCTCACTGATCCTGTGATCCCGTAGTCGGAAATTCATGACAATTCATGACAAACGTCGGCCCAAGGTGAGACGAGTGGCAAAACGGGTCTTCTTTACAGAGAGGGTGGCTTGAAAATGGTGAGCCCCAGACTTGAATTCAAAGGATTCAAAGGAGAGCTCACTTCGAATTGCAGCTCACACGATCTCAAATGACAATGGCTTGAGCTGTGGGTACCTTGGCCTTCACGATGGGATAGGACGGCTGGTCCTTGATGCCGCACTCGCCGTCTTTGGGGACACCCCGCTCGATTCGCACGTATCCGCTCTCCCCCCAGTTGGCTCCCCAGGAGTTCTTCACCTGACGAGGCAAGCAGACGATGCATGACGATGCGCTTGTTTGCGCGTGCTCTGTCTGCAATTTGCACTCAGCTGACCCGTGGAGTCTACAGGCCGCATGCGACAACTGCGGCAACATGCAGCAACAACAGGCTCGCCTTCCAGTAGTCAACCCCGTTCTCCGTGCCGTAGCCCACCGCCAGCACTCCGTGGTCCAGCTTGGCACCGCACTTCTTCGTCAGAATGCCGCCGTTGTAGAGCTGGAAGGCCATCTGGTCTGCCTCAATGGCGACAGACACCGGCTGCTGGGAGACGGCTTCCATCAGGGCGTTTGTGTCCTCCGGCGTGACGTCCTTGAAACCGACAATGGAGCCCTTTGGCACTGCAACCGTGCAGTTCGTCTCCTTGCAGGTGCCCTGCTTGGCCTGGTACGGGTAGCTGTCCTCCGTACAGACGTCGTACTTCTCCAAGTACTCAAAAGCTAGATCCATGGAGCCGCCATTGCAGCCCATGTTGCCGTTTTTCGCACAATCCACCAGCTGCTGTTCGCTCAAAGAGACGAGCTTGCCAGTGGCGATTTGCCACGCGCCCTCCAAAGCTCCGGTTGTGGAAAAAGACCAACATGACCCGCACTTTCCCTGATCCTTCGGGTCGGTCACGGCGCCCTTGCTCACCCAGTCCATGTCCTTGGGCAACGCCGAGCCGCTGTACCTCTCAGCCCAAGACCCTCCCCCAGTCCCAAACATGTCCCATTGCAACAAGGCAGGCAGCATGTAAGTATGTAGCCGTGGCTGTACTGCCAAACTGTCATGCCTGTCTATGCTGACAATATCTGACAATGTATGAGGCACAGTAACTGTGGGCAAGCTTGCTGTATCCTGCTGTCATGTTGCGGGTCTCTGCCGAGGTAGGGCAGCCCAGACCACGGTCGGCTTTCGGCGGACAAGCCGAAATGGCTTGCAGCGAACTCCTCCGGCTCCATGTCCGTGAATTCGTTGATGCCCAGCTTGTAGGAGTGGCCCTCGGCGTTGTGCGCCTCGATGCGAGCGAAGTTCTTGGCAAACGTGGCGAAGCGGGCCGCGCGCTCGGTGGCCGTGGAGTAGGTCCTTGAAAGAATTGCTGTCGGTTAAGTTTCTGAAAGATCTCACGAAAGTACACTGGATTTGAGGCTTCAGGGGAGAGCGCCCCAACCACACGACCACAACAAACCCACCACACCAACCCTACCACCACCAGCAAAATCACCAACAAAATCCCACGTGACCGCGCCCGCACCACAATCAACCACCAGCACCAAACCGAATCACCACAACCGGCCACCGACCAAGGAGACCGCACAAATCTCAAGAATCGAAATTTGGGCCCCACGCCCCAGTCTTGATGTAATCAATCTTCGGCTGAGTTATAGCCCCTGGTACCCTCACAATAGCGTTGCTCGTCGTAATATTCTGATGATGATGGCGATGAGACTGACGATGATGACGATGATGATGATGATGGTGGCGTGCGAACATTTATGACATCCATGAATCAAGAGTGATTGCATCTGATTGCCTTGGCAACGCCTTGGCTCAAGTGACCGGGTGAAAAATGCTTGCTACGTCGTGGCTGTGCTTGCTTGAGCTGTGACCAACACAAGGTTATCAGCCGTAGCTGCAAGTGCCATGGCGACTGACGATGCGACATCAGGACGCATCTGCATCAAAGATCTGCCAGAGCCTGGTTCTGATTAATTGGGAGGGCTGGCGCTTCCCTTTGAAGAGTCAAATCTTGCGTGTAGCGCCGGACCCAGTGGCAGACATGGCTTACATCAGAGAGCTTGATGATGAAGCGGTTGCCTTTGGCGATTTGGCGTCAAACTTGTCCGTAGACATGAACAAAACAGATGTGAATGTTTTCGCAGCGGTGGTTGCCGCATGTCAGAAGGGCAAGAAAGGACCAAAGATCCTCAAGCTGATTCAATCACGTGCACAGTTTGGTTACGGTCGTCAGGCTGTCCGCATCGTTGATCAGCGGCACTTGCATGAGTCAACGCATTTACCCACGGAGGCTAGCACCAAGATCCAAGAGCTCAGTTGTTCTGGATTGTCGGAGCTTGACAGCTACATGGCATCTTTTTCGTTGCATCGTCACCAGATGCTTCTGAAGCGCAAACTCAAAGACATCAAAGAACTGGATGCCACTTTTGCCGTTTTCAATGCCAGCAGTTCTGTGGATTTAGACGCCTTGATCTATGAAAACAACGGTTTGATTGCACATCACTCGGAAGAGATAGAAAGGCGAAAAACGCAGAAAAAGGCTGCAGCAGCCAAGGTCGCTGCTGCCGCAGCGGCAGGCGGCAAGTCTCAGGGAGGCAAGGGAAAACACAAGAGCAAGAAAGGCAGTGACTATCCTGGCATCCTGGACCACCTTTCGCCGAGGAAACGTGGGAAGATGCACTATCCAGGAAATCATCTGTGTCACGGCAAGCTTGAAAGAGCCGGCCTTGCTTGATCTGCCTTAGGCATCTGCGTCGTCTCTTTTTGGCAAAGCGCCTCTCCCGTTGAGGAGCGTTGGACAAAATGGGTCCGCGCCCCCCCTCCCGAAGCAACATTTTCCACTGAGCTGTGGGCGGTCTTCGACGAAGTCGTCTGCGCCTCTACCGGCGTTTGTCGACGTATTGGGCTTCCCACGCAGTACGCACAGCTGAGAAAAAGCAATGATCATTTTGACTTTGACCTGAGCTTTGCCTGGCGGGCCGACGAAAAGATGTCAGCCCTCACATGTCATAACATCCGTGAATCAAGAATGAGTGCATCTGATTGCATCAGACTTGCCTTGGCAACGCCTTGGCTCAATTGACCGGGTGAAAAGTGCTTGCTACTTCATAGCTGTGCTTGCTTGAGTGGTGGTGTGGTGGTGGTGTGGTGGTGGTGTGGTGGTGGTGTGGTGGTGTGTGGTGGTGGTGTGGTGGTGGTGGTGGTGTGGTGGTGGTGGTGGTGTGGTGGTGATGATGATGATG